CCATGCACTTTAACTGATCTACTGAGCCACTCTGCGACAACATACATTATAAGGATTTATTGGATTGTAATGGAATGAAACAGAAACATGCAGAACCGTGCCTCAGTATATATTCTGGCATGACTCATGTTAGACTGCTCCTTGTTTATAAATACAAAGTGTGGGTTTTACCTGGAGCCCTGTACCTGAGCGGCCTTGCTGTGTTCAGTCTGGCTCAGTGCCAGGGGACTACTGCATATGATTACAATACAGACACACCATGACAGTGCACAGCTCCCCTGCAGCAGGTAGGGGCTTTAAGGCTTTAGGCAAATCCCTCCAGGCTTCTCCCTCACTTCTCCCTGCACACTTTCCCTTTGTGATATCCAGATGAAAGCTAAAGAGTGTAAGTGTGCACTGTATAGAGAAGGACCAATTGGCTCTCTATGAAATGTATTCTTTGACAGACATCTAATAAACCCAGTAATTAACACTTGTATCGACTTTGGATAATAACAAAACATAGAGCAGTGTGTGACGGTCAGGATGGTCAATACTTTTGAATCCACTATAATGATTGTTTTTGCTGACTCTGCGGTTTTATTCTCTGAGGGAGTCGCCTTTCATTTTCTGCACTGACATCTACAGACCTCTCTTTGCACCTCGTGTTTCCAATAACTCATTTGAAATTACAGCTCTTGCCTCGAACAGTAAATTAACAACACATTACTCATAATTAAAATTGTTGCCTGCATTTGAAGGGGATATGTGTCTTTATTTCTTCACATTTGTATTCATTAATTATTTAGTGTCATAAAGATAAACATATTTATTTAACAGTTCATTAGTTTAGAGTTCAGTTATCCTTCCAAGATTTCTCCTAAAGTATTCTGTATGATATAGGGTTACCAAAAATCAAAAATCAGATACTAATCATTACTAAAACTAATATCGAAACTATATACTCATTTATTTTTAGCTTTCCTGAACAGTTTTAATATGCATTTGAGATTTATCAGAGCAATTATAAGACCTCATGGTAACATAAAGAAAGTACTATTATTTCTACTGAGACTATAAGATGCCATTAAAATGTTATTACTAAAAAAGTATCATTTTTTTATCTGCATTGTGGTATTATAGTCTGTACCAAGTCTTAGTATCAAAATCAAGTTTGACATTTTAATATCATGACAAGTATTATATATGTCCTTATTTACTGTGCAAGACCAGTGATCAAATGTGGTATGATAATAGTCTGATTCTGTTTTCCTCCATCTGTCATGTCTATAATCTCGCTGTGTCCCTTATGTCTGTACAGCTGAGTGGGCACATGCAGCGGCGCACCTCTGCTCTCACATGCAGTGGATGAGCTAATTAGTGAAGTGCTACGGAGGCCTGTATGAAGTCACAGTAGCACATGTTTCCTGTGAGCTCCACTATCGATCCCAGACAAACGGACAAATGAGCGAGAGGCAGAGGCGGAAGGATCTGTGCATGGAGGGTCATCTGTGCTAGACACGTGTATGTCGTCACACCTTAGCTCTCGCTGTAGGGCCTTGGAGATCAATACCAGCTTTGTGTGGCTTATATGTAATGTGGAGCCCAGTGGTCACTCCCTCTAGTGGCCTGAGAATAGAGTGGACAGAGCACACACTATTACAGTATAGACCAGAGAGAGGGAGAGGTGGACGAGCGCAGAGTGCCTATGACGACCCAGTTCCATCACTGCCTGTTTGTGTTTGGGACAACTGGCTGCTTAAGAGCTTTGTGGCACGAGGGCAGGAGGAGGAAGGTTACAGGAAATAATGAAATGCATTTGCTGTGATATTACACTCTATTACAGTCCATCCACACATACAAGCACTGCATGCTGCACGGGTTTGTAATGATTCTGATGATTTGATGCCTGATGTTCCTCTCACATGTTTGGAAAAGAGAAAATTTAAAATAATGTTGGCCCATTAGTTTTGTACATACACATGAAAGCTTTTTACTTTATCCACCTCATCAGCTAAGAGACATTCGTGAGTTCATGCTCAAAACTTTCTACATTGGTTATTAGTAATTTAACTGTGTTCTATATTACTGTTTAATAACTGTGAAATATATATAAATATTCATATTTTATTCATATTGCATATCTCCCATACATTTCTACTGAGACTATTTGGGGACACAGACAAGCCCTGCTTTAATGTTGAATAAAAATGGTTTAGTTTTAAGTTGTCTATTTTTATCATCAAAGTGCACTGTTTGCAAACACAATGAAACATGTTTTTGAATCATGTGATCATGGCTGATTCGAGTTAGTCTGATGAGTGCTTTAAAGTCTATTGCACTTAGCTCTGCATGTGCAGTGCTGCTCTCCCCTGGGCCATGTGTGTTCCTCCTCTGATTAACAGGCAGTAAAGTCTGCAGACACGGCGCGCTCTGACTGGACTGACAGTTTCATGGTGCTTTCTCTCAACATAAGCTCAAAGGGACATCAATCCTGATCAGACACTACGTGCAATGTGGTTCACTGAAACAGTAATATATTTATTTTTAAGTAATTATATTTATTTATTCTTGAATGTATTTTTATGCCCTGTGTATGTGGAACGCAACACCTCAGTAATCACATAAAATAATTGTCAGTATCAAATACACTCTTGATCCAACTCACTCTTTGCACACCAAAAAATAATTTGTTTATCTGAAATAGTGTATAAATAAACAAGCCAGTGCTATTTTTGACTTTTGGCTGGTGTTGTGAAGGAGATATGAAGGCAGCGTGTCAGCGGCGCAGCTCTGGTCGTAATGGGGGGTCAGGATCTCACAGAGGCTGCAGATCTGTGCTCGCTACAAAACAAATGAAGACAGGTCGCGGTGATTGGCAGCGCGTTGGATGGTAGGAACAGTGAGTAGAGCAGAGAAGAAAAAAAGTTGGTGGTGTTTTAAATAAAGAGACAGATACCGAGACAGTGGATTGGTAATGAGCTGGATTTTTTTTTTTTTGTTATAGAGACTTGGCATTCTGCTCATGATGCCCACTCACCATCCTTCTCCCTCTCCTCTCTCCTGCGCTGGCTTCCTGTCTGCGCCCCGAAGCAGCAGTAAATGAGGGTTGGTGGGAGAGGGAGGGGGATAGAGAAGAAGAGAGGAGGGGGGGGGCGAGGTGGTGGGGGTGTGAGGGGGGTTAAGGGAACGGGAGGGACCAGTGTGTGTTGAAATTGAATGCCAGGGCGCCATGTTCTCACCGCCAGCGTTTCCATGGCGACGGGGTAATTCTGGCGAGTAAGGAAATTTCATTCAGTGGTATGAAGAAGAAGAAGACAAAAATAGGGAGGAGAATATCAACAAAGCAACAAAGGAAAGATATAAAGAAGAGTGTATAAAGCATAGGAGGGGGGGTTCCGCTGCCCATCCCCCCGGCAATCTGCACCAACTACTCGTCTTTTACTGATATTTGTACCTCCTTGTGTACTGCTATGATGCTTCTTGGGTTTGTTTGTATTTTACCACCCCGTAAGCAAACACCCGCCCACAATCCTACATTTTTTTTCTCCCAGATGCCCTGCAGGTATACGCCAAAGAACAAAGAGATACAGTGTTAGCCGGCTGCTATATATGAGACTGGAGGAGAAGGGCAATGGGGGTTGGTGACAGGGGTAAGGTCGTGGGGTTAAAGAAATCAGAGGGGATTGTTTACAAGACAGCACGCACGTTTAGCGCACGTGGGGCTGCTGACATATGACTGTGACTTTATGGATGGTCCTCAACCTTTTTCAATTTTACATGAAGTTAAAAGTGGGGACGAGCAATGGCGTTGTTGTAGGTAGATGTATGGACCTGAGCGCAGCAGCATTTGTGTGTCAGCCTGGGCAAATAAAGGCACACTTGGGAACTGTGGCTAAGTGGAGTTGACAACTGCATGGGGTTTGACTGGGCCAACCTGACAGCTGTACAGCCAGCACTCTCACCGCTCACACACACATACTGCCAATACACACACATTTATTTTGAAGGGGGGTTTAATATGATGAATAGTTTTATTTATTTCATGATAGAGTCATTTGATGCTTGACTTCAGTGTGCAAGTTGCGTTTACCTATTTGAGCAATGTTTTGTAGGGTTTGTAAAAAAAAAAAGTAGAAGTAAACATAGATTTATTATATGCTTACAGACAGAAGTGAATAAATTTACACACAAAAAAAAGAAATAGAAAAAAGAAACAATATTATTCATGTAGTGGTCCAAGAAGAGACTGAAGAGTATCTAGGTGAACTACTTCTTAAGTAAAAGAGTAACTATAAGATATGTAATATGGCAAATTAAATAATGCACACAACCTGAAAGGGTAAACATAAATGAGAAAATGAAATAATCCAGTGTCTGAAGGAGTAGTGTAAGAAATGCATGTTTATGTAATTTAATGTTGTCAAACTCTTGTCATTTTACTCACAGAAAAAAGACTAATCAAAACTTTTATTCAAATAAGAGCAGTTTTACACTGTAAAATATATCACTCAAGTATAGGAGTAAAAGTTTGGTGTCTCTTAGAAGACCAATTTTATATATAAAAAAAAAAAAAAACTCAAGAAACTGAATACAGAACGCATAATTTATCTATGAAAATCTTACTGTCTTGTTAAAATCTGTTACAAATCTTTTACAATTTTATATTGGCATTACAAAAAAGACTAGTGCACCCACAGGGGAAAGGCCTCTCATCTGTGATTTACTGACTTACTGTTATGCTCAACATTTCTTTGGATTGTTTGACAGCATAAAAAGCTCATCATCAAGTTTTTATTCAATATTTCCAAATTCCGCTTTAAATGTTCTTCGCCATTATATTTCCAACCCTAAACAAGCACCATAGTTGACAGAGCAAGCTATCAACACAAATAGCTAAAGTGCTTATTACTGTCACGCTGCTATTTACTCAAGCTCCTCTCACTGAACGCCATGTTGCTGTCATTGTTCTCTTAACTGCAAACTTGTCTTTTAAAGCTCTCTCCTAATGTGTTTTACAGTGGCTGAAGAGGGACTCTGGGAGTGCGGACTGTCCTATGAGTGCCGGACCCTCCTGTTCAAGGCCATACACAACCTGCTGGAAAGGTACAGACCACCACTCAGCGCATTATCCAACAGCACTTCATTAGCACAGACACAGGGAGGGAGAAGCCAGAGGAAGACACATACATTAAATATAAAAACATGTTACATAACCAGCTACGCTCAATACCGCACATAGGGGATATAGTGTGCATATGAATGACATGCAGATTAAATATATATGGCATATGGATATAGGGCTTTGTAGTTCCTTTGATTTTAATCAGTTCAAGATTAAATTGTTTCATATTGTCAATGATAACTTGAATCTTTTTAATCGAGAGTTCAACAGCCAATCCAGTGTAAGCGAAAGCATGTGGTTTGGTGTTCAGATTTTGCAAGATTAAATATAGATTTTTTGTGTTAAATGGTTTTGACTGAAAGTATGCCTTGAAATGAAAACTGAAAGACAAATTAATTTGTTTATATAAAGTTAACTATAAAGTCATATTGAAAATCATGATTGATCAATATGAGGGAAAAAAATGAATAAAATAGCCAATAATGTTTATTTGACTCTTTGACAAATCTGGTTCTTATTCATGCCCTGTCAATAGTGAGACACTGGAGGGTTTAAGAGTTCACTCACGGGTCAATAAAGGGCATTAGCCTCGGCCACAGAGACTCATCATGACACTGTTTCTGTGACTCAAATGACATTTTTCAGCCAATAAATTATGGATGCTCATTCATTAGACCATTATGTAAGGAGCAAAAAGAAACAAGACTGTTTCTTAAAGAATACAACAAGAGTAAGGGAAAATGCTGTAGCAGTTGCCATTATTAAAGATACATTTTACTACATCGCACTGGTACCGTATTTTATTGTAATGTGTGAATTAATTATTTTTTATAACAACTTCTTCTAATTGAAAAGAGTAATGGGCCTAATTGAGTATAAATTTCACTTTTTTCTTTAATATTACAGCTCTAGTAGAAATACATTGAAAACTGCTGTTTTAATACAGATTTAAACTTTTCCTTCTCTTTGCATTAATTATAGTTTATAGAAAAAATCTGATGGTGTCTAATTGGGCATTTATTTGTATAAATCACCTACAACATTAATTACTGATTGATCAACAGTATATGATATTTCATTTACAGCTTCACCTTAATGAAATTATAACCTGAGCGCTGAATCAATGGCTCAAGTGCCCAAAAGCTCTGCATTCTAAGTCTGAGCCATCTGCTAAATGAAGCAGCACATATTTGCTCTATTAAGTTAAGCATCACTGATCATCAGAGGGGGCAGGCTAAATTAACCTTCCTATTACCTTGAAGTTAACTTCTTTTAGAGTGCACTATTTCAGCACAGGACTCTCATATACCAAAAGACTCTCTTCATAAAAAGCTTGACCATTTAGTGTCATTATTTAGATTAATTTTCAAATTAAAATGCATCAGAAGAAATACTAATACAAACTGGTGGTGATAGTTTTATAACTGATGGCTCAAATCCAGCTCTATCAAGTTCATGCTGCTAACCCTCCTTGCTGGTATTAATATGAGTGAGACAAACTCAAAGAAAATAAATAATCTACTACAGTATTTTGAGAAGCTTGTCAAGCTTGTTAAAGGTTATATAAAGCAAAGCATAAAGCATATAAAGTGATTGTTATAATTATTAGTACCAAATAAATATTAAATGGTTTTTTGAACAGAAATTCAGAATGAGTTTAGAGATAATAAGTAGAATAGAATATTTAACACTTGTTACAACCATATTGTTGAACTCTGTCAAGGTTTTTCCATTAGTCGAAACGTAATTAATGAGAGTAGTACACTTAATTGTTGTTCTATTGTTAATACTTTTGATATAACTCATTTAGTGTGTATGTTGAGACAGGAGAAATGTTTCTAAGCTTATTGTCTAACATTGTGCTTTCACTCATCTCTGTCTCTGCCTCTCTTTTATGTGCTGCTGCAGATGTTTAATGGATAAGGGCTTTGTCAGGATTGGGAAGTGGTTCTTCAAACCACATGAACTGGAAGAAAAGCCTGTGGGCAACAGGTGAGTGGAAGTCTAGTCTCACACACGCGTGCACACATGCACACACATTCATATACACACAGATACACAGAAGGTCTGTGGTGGTGTGTGAGGGTGTATACAGTGCAGTGCTTCATACAGGTGACAGTGTGACACAGCCTGGTGGTGTGAGCAGCTCGCATGTGACTCAGTGTTTGTCAGCTCCCTGCCCATTGATGTTCAGCTGCTGCTCATAGTGTGAAACTATTAAAAACGTAATAGAGGACAGTGAGGATACCTGCACTGTGGCGAGCTCTCACTGCTCAGAAGCAAGGGGCTGTGTAGATGAAGGGTGAACCAGTGCATATGTAAAACTATATTTATAGAAAAAAGTAATGAAACCCTGATTTACACAGAAAAAGTCTTGAGTAGCTTTTGCAATGGCCAGAGTTAGGGCTGTCACTGTTGTCACTGGCACATTTGCACTTGCATATATTGCTGAAGAAAATATAGATGATAAATGAAAATATTGAAACTAATTGATTATTATTCTTAAAAATTTTCCAAATTTACAGTATAATTAAATACATAATCTGCAATAAATAGCAGTAAGAAAAACGTTTGTAGTGAGTTTGTTTCTATGAGTCATAAGTAAATATGACTAATATGAAAAGGCTCATTATAGAAACAGATACAAACACACTACATACGTTTTTCTCTATTGAACTCTCTACAACTCAAATTTTATTGTAGATCTCCTCACAGTAGAAAGAAAGTACCCATGATAAATAATGCCATCAAAAATGATAGTTCCGTCTTTCATATATTGAACGATAAGTCGATATCATAATTATCATGACATAATTATTACGGACAGAGTGAGACTGTTTTTTGCAAGAAATTATGTGTTCATGGAGTTTGAACATGAAGGGGGAGCACTTGCAGGAGAAAGCACATTTCATTGTCAGGTACAAGGATGCTTTTGATTATTTTTTATTTTGTTTATTTTATTACAAAACTGAGAGGTTGTCTTACTTAGAGCATTTTCCATTTTCGATTGAATCGTAAAAAAGTTTATTTATCATTCACTGATCATTATGCCAACAGACTGGAGCAATGATGGACAATAGACTACAGACTATAAGATCTTACGAGACAAAATTGCCACAAGATTGCACACACATGATGAAAATGGTCCTGAGATCATTTTTTTGTGATGTGTTTGCATTTGTAGTGGACAAAACAGGGTTATTTACTGATGAGTTATATTATTTGAGAAGTTGTAGTTCCAAAAAGAAGTGCTATGACAGAAATAATGTCAAAACTCTCATGTCTTGTCCCATCTTGTAGAAATTGTGTCTCGTCCCACCTCTAATAGTTATTTGTTGATTCTCTGGAAATGTGCTTTGAAACAGACTTTTTAGCACTTTTTGTTCCCATTATTGGTGTTCTATATTTTCTTCTGTATTAGTCAAATATTTGTAGCGTAACTAGTGTATGCAGCATTAAAGTTAAGCCAGTTAAAAGGGGACTTGAGTATGTTCAGGTGTAGCTCTATGAGAAAGTGGGACATCTTCTGTGCATTGTCTACACGACTGCTTCTGCACATGTATAGCACTATTATGATGATATAGTGCACATATGTAAGAGCAGCTCGCGATGCAACATATTGGATGCAGATGCCACAAAGAAAACAGACGGGGTTAGTAAATTTGTGAGTGAGCATAAAATGTGATTTGAACCATACGCCAAAGCCATCTCCGCCACCAGATCTCATCTCCATTTATGAGTGAATCATGCTGCACCCATCTGCACCCACCAACACAAAGCACTGAGTAGAGAAAGACAGCCGGGCAGTAGCAAGAAGTAAGTGAGATGAAAATATAAAACCCACATTAATAATAAACTTAATATTAGAATGAGTTATTACATAGACTAATGTATTCTGTTTTAGTGAGATGTGAAAGAAGTTGTTAATTGAGTGGTTTTAAAATACATGTTTGATTAAGACTTCAGTTGCGGTCTTGGCAGAACAAAAAATGTGCAATCAGTTACCAAGAATATTAGATAAATTACTTTAAATCACTTTAGTTAAACATAATACTAGTATGTAACTTTGTAGGGGAAGGGTCAGCCACCTGCTTGTGTCAGTGGAAATGCTGTTGCTTTGCCTGGAATGTTCCGCAGGACAGCATTAAACTTGCATTAGCTCAATTACAGGTGTTTTTACTGATCAAAAATATGTTGAAAAAAACATTCTTACTGTGAGTGAGGTCCCCCCTTCACAGATCTGACCTGTAACTTGGCACGGTTAAACAAAGTTATATCGTATCCGTGGAAACAAGAAAAGGGCATACTCTTCGTCAGAAAAGTTACAAAGTGCAACTTTAAGACACAAAAAAGCATACAAATAATAAAATAGATAAATCCAAGGACAACATGATTTATATTCATTCATGTTAAAGTAATGGTTTACACTGAGGGTATTTAAGAATGCTGAACTAACATGATTCTTAATAAACCAATAGTTTTAACTGTACGTTCTTTTACCATTGTGACATATAGTCTTTTGTTGTAACCACAGAATGCATTTTCACTACTGTAATTGGACCAGTGGGGCCAGTGTGTGAAGTGCCCTGATTGTCCTTATATTGTTCATTTTATACTTTTGCAAATTGTTTACTAATTTCTCTCTTTATAACCTTTCCTAAAAAGAGCATGCATGTTAAAAAAGATAAAAATGTTAGTGTTTCTCCAAATTTGCATCATTTTTGGGGGCGTGCAGTGATTTGCATACACACATTCCTTTGTACATCATGTAATTCTTCTTTAGTTTGACAGGCCTGTATGAATATGTTGTCAGCTGGTACGCCCCCTGCAGAGACCATTCTGACTTTCTCACTCTGTGAATTATTGAACATCCTGGAAGATGAGGCGGGCAGAGGAGAGGAGGCTGAGACAGAGAGCGAAAACCTTGACCATTAACTCATATAAATTCAGTGTAAACGCTAATACTATGCTGTACAATGTGGTCTTTTTCACCATTGCAATGTTTTTTACCATTGTTCTGCTGGTTTAAAAAAATACCTTTACAAACGCCATTGCCAAAAATAGCACAATTCCCTCACAGCATTAGTGTATTCCATGCCATGTGGGAGCATTAATCACTTAGGCACATGCTGACCTCCTGTGTCAGCTCTAACGGCTCTTTTGTCTCTACCTTTATTCCTACTCTGCACCTCATATTCCCAACAGGGGGCGCTAATATTGTTCTAACAGCACTGCCATGCCCCCATACCCGTGCCAAGTCCTGCACTTTGGCACTGCCTTTGCCAGAATTATTTGTGCTTATCTGCAAACCTTTCCCAGGGGCTAGTGGAGGTACACCCAGTCTCCCCTCTCCTCTTGTAGCATTCACTCCTAGCATTATCAGCTGCAGCTTGTCTTTGTTTCTAAGGCAGGCACTATGGGTTGGTAAGGGGTTGCATCAGACGCTGAAGAGAGAGTTACACAGTAGCGAGTGAGAGGGGAGTACTTGGTGGGGGCTTGCTGTGTCTACGCTGGGGTGCCGGGGAGCGTGGTAGGCGGGGGGTCGTAAATTAATCATTACTATAGACGGCTGAATGGATGTATTAGAGCCTGTCGCACTCATTAGCTCAGTCAATTCGATGCATGCCAAGTACAGTACAGAGTCTATTTGTTAATCTGGGGGCTTTCATTTGCATTAATAGCCATATACTCATACATAAATTATATCCATATTTTAAAGTGTAATGGAACTCGCATGCTGCTTCTTGGATGTGAATCAAAACAAGTGGAAAGGAAATTCTTGTCTTCCTCTACCTGGTCGTATTCAATAGAAGTTGTGTAAATAGAGCATCCTCACCTCACCTCGCTTCAGGGAGGAATGACATTGAGACACACGGAGAGAGTGGCCATCTCCTAGGCAACAGATGTTTGGTGTTTGGGCACGGCACAAGGTCAGACAGTATCCAGAAATAAAACAGGATCTCCTTTATCCTCTTAACCAGTTAATTTACTGTAGAACGCACCACAACAGAGAGCCTTGATAGCTGTTATATTCTGCTTAATTAAATGCAATAAAGAAAATGGACATTATAAGATCATTTCAAATCCCAAATGCAATGAGCATCATGTATTAAAATCTTTCATTTATAGAAGAATAACTACAACTTTTGAGTAATATAAACACTTACAATTAAAAGACCGACACTATTAAGACCGACACTAAGACACTATTTTCTGACCTATGTTATAAAGCAGTTTTCTCTTTACAAACACACCTGGAGTTGTGTTTAGTTTTATTCAAACATGTTTAACTCACAGATTCTGCTTATGCAGGATGAGTTTTTCTCTCAAATGCAAAACATACACTGTTCCACCTTGTGATGTCATGTGGTAATACAGGAAATGTTCCATACACGTTCACTAGAATCATCTGGATAATCGTAAAAGGTAGCTGTTAATTACTAAAACTACCACTTCATGATGTCACAAGATGGAACAGAGCAGTTTGAGCTTTTGGCATGTGGACAGACTAATAATATGTTTTTGATGAGGCAACAGCATTCTAACATGGCTAAAAGCATAATATAGGACCTTTGAACAGTTGCTTTAATTGCTACAAGTCTATTTATTTACCTTAAATGTTACACAGTTGGGCATACAAGTCCCTTTTGGCACATTTGATGAGAGCACATTTAAGTGAATTTGAGAGCACATGAGTTAAGTAAAGTAAATATGACTTATTTAAACATTTTTCTGAAGGTTGAACCTGGTAAGTAGTTTAAATCAATGTTCTATTGTGAAAGTGCAGGGAAGACTGAGGGTATTTTGGAGTGGTCGTTGGTGCCATTAATAATCCAGGGAGAGTGGAGAAACAGCAAAGGCAAAATGAAGAAAGAAGACACCTGTGATTAATCATTTTATTTCCTGGGTTATATTTAGCAGCATCAGATAAATGGGATAAAACAACAAGAATGACAAGCAAGAGCACAAAAAGACCAAAACTGACCCATTTT